GCGGGGGTGGTGTCGGCCATGACGTGCATGGTGAAGAGTGAGAGCCCTGTGCTGACCAATTCCTGCAGAGAGCTGCTCTCCAGGTGGGGCTGCCGGTGTGGCTCTAGCGGGAGCAGGTCCTGGTACTGTGGGCCTCTTGGCGTGAGGGGCCAGCTGCTCTGCTGCCTTCCTTTGCCGAGCCTGGAAGTGGAGTGTACTGCCAGCGCCCGAGACCTCCCCCACCCACCCGCCCACCACCACCTTCTCCCCACAGGGTCTTCCTGGCTTTGGTGGAAGAGGTAGAGGACCGCGGCACTGTAGTTGCTCAGGGAGGGGGCAAGGTAAGCTGGTTCACAGACTCCTAACTGAGGGTCAAGGCATGAGCCTATAAAACATGATTCATTGGCTGCCACGCCAGAGATTGCTGTTAGATGTGGGATGGAAAAACATTATTAATGACCAGTAGGAATGTCTCCTTCTCTCATTTACCTCCATGGCCCCAGCACCCAGCACTGTCCATGTCAAGCCCTTAAGAAGTGTTTCAGGAAGTGTTTGGGTAGCTTCATGAGGGACCTCAGAGAGGTGGTGAGGGTCTGAGCAAGCCTGGGGAGAGAAGGAGAAGGGTGAGGATGGCACAGTCAGGGCCTCAGGGCCCGATGGTTTGGTCCTTGCACTCCTGGGCACCTCCTAGGCACTAATGTGCTTGTTCCTATAGGCTCTGCTTCCGCTGGCCCTGGAAGGCACCGATGTGGGACAGACAAAGGCAGCCCAGGCTCTCGCCAAGCTCACCATCACCTCCAACCCAGAGATGACCTTTCCTGGCGAGCGGGTATGTGTCTTCCTGCCCTAGCCCTGGCCTCTCTGCCCCTTCAGTGGGCTCTGATGGCCTCTGGCTTGGGCTGTGGCTCCTCCTTGAGACCAACAGGAAGTGGCAACTTTGCTAAGCCCTGGGCTAGAAGGGCAGCCTTAGAAACCAGCACTCTTTCCAGGGCTGGACTCCTCCCTGCTAGTTGGTGGGGTTGGTGGATGCTGCGGTGAGTAGCCCTGACAGGTGGGGTGCACATTGCAGATCTATGAGGTGGTCCGGCCCCTTGTCTCCCTGTTGCACCTCAGCTGCTCAGGCCTGCAGAACTTCGAGGCACTCATGGCCCTAACGAACCTGGCAGGGATCAGTGAGAGGCTCCGGTAAGGTCTCTTGGGATGTGGGGCCTGGGTTGGGCATCAGGATTCAGATTATCCCCACCCAGAAAAGCATTTTACACTTTGGAAAACACTCCTCGGTCATTGACTTATTTTAGCCTCACAGTGACTCCTCTGCATGATACAGATGAGGAGATAGACCAAGAGAGGCAGCAAGGCACTGGGCGATAACACTGCAGGCTCTGGAGTCAGACTACCTGGGTTCAAATCCTGGCTTCTCTAGTTGCTAATGTGTAACCTCAAGCAAGTTACTTCACCACTCTGCCTCAATTTCCTCATCTGTGAAATGGGATGGTTATCGTACCTACCCCATGGAGTAGTGGTGAGAAGAATTACATGAGAAAATACATGCAAAAGTACTTCTTACATAGGTGCCTGGCCCCTAGCAATGTGCCCAATCAGTAATGTATTAGCCATTAATACTAATTGTGACCTTGAGCTTATTACTCACTACTCAGCCACAGTTTTCTCTTCTACAAAATAGTAATGATAATCACACCTGCACCTTCATCGTAGGGTTGTGATGAGGATTAAGTAATATAATCCAAGTGCCTGGTCAAGGTAAATGCTCAAATGTTAGGTGTTAGCATCACCATCATCCCCAGCCTGGTCTCCTAACTCCTACTTTTGGGTATTAACCTTGGTTAGAAGGCTAGAAACCCCTGCATTTCATACCTGGTTCAGGAGGGTCTTTGGTCATTGCCAAGCGTAATCCTCAGCCCCAGACTCAATTGCGTGGGGAGGTGGGGGCAGGGATGGGTGGATGTAGCAGTTCTTTTTTTTTTTTTTTTTTTCAAAAGATGACCAGTAAGGGGATCTTAACCCTTGACTTGGTGTTGTCAGCACCACGCTCAGCCAGTGAGCGAACCGGCCATCCCTATATGGGATCCGAACCCGGGGCCTTGGTGTTATCAACACCACACTCTCCCGAGTGAGCCACGGGCCGGCCCAATAGCAGTTCTGATGATACTGACTCTTCCACCTCTGTGCGTGCAGGCAGAAGATCCTGAAAGAGAAGGCTGTGCCTATGATTGAGGGCTACATGTTTGAGGAGCATGATATGATCCGCCGGGCAGCCACGGAGTGCATGTGCAACTTGGCCATGAGCAAGGAGGTGAGGGTTGGTTCAGGTGGTCATGACATGCAGAGAGATGCAGAGGTATCTGTCCTGGCTGGCCTTTGCACCCAGTTGACTTGGCCCATTCCCCCCATCTGGCACAGGTGCAAGACCTCTTTGAAGCCCAGGGCAATGACCGGCTGAAGCTGCTGGTGCTGTACAGCGGAGAGGATGATGAGCTGCTACGGCGGGCAGCTGCAGGGGGCTTGGCCATGCTGACCTCCATGCGGCCCTCGCTCTGCAGCCGAATCCCCCAAGTGGTCAGTGTCTTCTTGGTGGGGGAGGAGGGTCAACCAGGAACTCTTAGCATGGTGGCGGTTGGTGGGGGATGTCCTAGGGGATGTGGGTGTGTTTCCTGTCAAGGTTGAGCCTGTTGCTTGGTGGTCACACCTGCTCTGTTTCCTGCAGACCACACATTGGCTGGAAATACTGCAGGCCCTGCTTCTGAGCCCCAACCAGGAGCTGCAGCACCGGGGTGCTGTGGTGGTATTAAACATGGTAGAGGCCTCGAGGGATATCACCAGCACCCTGATGGAGAGCGAGGTGCTGGAAATCCTGTCAGTCCTGGCTAAGGGCGAGGAAAGCCCCGTCACAAGAGCTGCTACAGCCTGCCTGGGGAAGGCCATGGAATATGGGCTTATTCAACCCAACCAGGACAGAGAGTGAGGGTCTGCTACTGGGCCCAAGGCTCATGCACATGCTACTTATTGCAGCACAGGGAGCAAGGACAGAAGCAGCTCGGGCTGGTGGGGGCTGGGATGCACTCTTTCCCCTGCTCCCCAACTGTCCTTTAATGTCCTTTGTTCTGCATCAGAGGCCACATTCAGTCACATAGCTCTGTTCTGCCAGCACTGCCTCTAGCCTCACTCAGAGGGGCCCTTTTTTTGTACTACTGTGGACAGCTGGGAGTGGGGATACATCCCAACTCAGCCTATGGATTCTGGGGCATCAGGAAGGGCACATCAGTGGCCTCACCAGCTGTGAGCATCACCTAATAGTAGGCCTGCCCCTGACCCTCTAATAAAAGTGTGTGGAACTTGTGTGTGCCCTGTCCCTGGGCAAGAGGGCTGCAGTGCGAATCTCTGGAGCAGGAGCTGGGCATGCGGAGATTTACAGCAGCAGCAGAGTCACCTCTATGAAAAGAATTCAATGGGTTCCCTATCCTAGGGCCCACTGAATTGCTGATTAATCCTGTTGGAAGTACAAAGGGTAAGCCTAGGAAGCTAATAAAAAAAAAACCCTCCAGTTTAGTGGAAATAGATGGTTCTAGGGTACAAAATCCTAATGCTGGCCCTTCAGTACTTCTGTCTTTATATTCTGAGTTCTTGGAGACCCCCATTCAGGCAGTACTCGGGATTTGGGGCTGGTGTGTCGTTTGCTTCCCTCCCGGGAAAAACAGCCCTCCTGTAGCCGAGCATGGTCAGAGGAAGGGGGGCCGGTAGCACTTCCCACCTGCCGGAGGCGGGTCATCCCGAGCCGGTTTCTGTCTGAAGGCCCATCCCAGCTTGAAGCTCATTGGCTCGACAGAAGTAAGTGACGGGTCCTGAGCCAATCAGTGGGAGGTTGAAGCCATCGAGGAGTCGAGTACGGCTGCTTCCTGTTTGGGCCTCAGTCCGCGCGTGCTCGGTGGAGAGCTGACTCCGTCCCAGACCGGGGGTTTGAGGAGGCCGCGCGTGTCGGGGGCTGCTCCTGACCAGCCCTTTACTTCGGGTCTTCGTGAGTGTTCCCTGAGTGGTTCTAATCCGAGCTCCGCGGCCCCGCGGGTGCCTCCGGGCTCTGCCTTGGGCCCACGTCCCCTGGAGGTCTCGACCGTTTCACAGGCGGCCCGCGGCGGCCCGGCGTAGGTCTCTGGACCGGCTCGATAGAGTTGAGACCCGCGGGGCTGCCGCCGCGCCCGAGCGCCGACGTCACCGCCCCCGCCGGCCATTGGCCGCCTCCCCCGCGCGCGGCCCTTCAAACGCTTTGTCCATGGCCGCTGACAGCGACTGCTGGGTGGGCTCCTATTCCGGAGGGGGTACCCCCACGTTTCCTCCGAGACTGCCCACCGTAAGAACCTGCCTGAGGGGGTGAAGGGCACAGGTCAAGATCAAGGTCAGAGGTCCCCTTGGGCTGGGAGTGGACACGGAAGGGGTAGCAGGAGAGACCCAAGATTAGAGGCTTGAGAATGCCTGTGAGACTGATCAAGTCGAACGTGCCCTTCGGAAGGCGGCGTTGCTGTTGTAGCCACCAGACTGTCTGTCTCCCCGTTTAAGCGTGAGCCCCTTGGGAGAAGACAGCTGTCCTTCGCGCTGGGCCACAGTAAGGGCTCAATAAACACTTGTTGGTCGAATAAATGACTGGATGAGGTCCAGTTGGAATTGCGTGTATATATAGGTCCTGAAAACCCAAAAGACGTCCAGTGGTCATTTTTGTCCACTCAAGTGCTGTATTTAATAAGTTAACGCTGTGTTTTTATTGTGGTATGTGCCAGCACCGAACCCTTTATTTACATTTATTACAAACAATTCTACGAGGTAGGTACAAACAGCACCCACCCACCCCCAAACCCCACTCTCCTTTGTAAAACTGAAGAAAGGGAATTGGATTTAGATTGTCAAGGGCACAAGGCACTGCTAGCTGCAGAGGCAGACGTGAACCCTGGAGCTGCTGGTAACCTGTAATGGGTGCTGCCTCCCAAACGCTCTTCTGCTTTGCACTGTCTGGTGAGACTTGAGTTCAACCCTCTGCCCCTCTCTGTCCTAGCTGTGTGATTGTGTAAGGGCTACTTTCTCTGGGAGTCTTTTGTGAGATGGGGCAATTTGGAGTCCCACGATTACATGGGATAAAGTGCCTGACGCTAGGAAGTTGGTGCTGGAGGGGGTCCTCAGATCCTAGTCCAGCGTCTAAAGGAGAGGCCACTTGAACTTGAGTCAAAAGGGAGGACAGGGAAAGTGCCTGACTCGACAGTTCAGAATCTCCGTAAATCTGGCAGGACTTTAGCCAAGGCTGGCACTCAGCGAACGTTTGTGGAATGGACGTCTTCTGCCCCTGTGGTTAGGAGGGTGGTATTTTTCCCATTTTACAGATAAGGCAGCCACAACCCTGGAAAGCCAGAGACTTGCCGGTGTTCCCCAAGAGGTTGATCTGCAAGAATCTCCTCCGGCTCTAGCCCTAACCCTCGGTCGCGAGGCCCACTCCCGCCAGGTGGCGCTGCCGGGGCATGGCCGCGGAGCAGCGCGGGGCCTGGTTCGGCTTCGGTTTCTGCGGCTTCGGGCAGGAGCTGGGCTCCGGGCTCGGGCGCCAGGTGCACAGCCCGGAGCCGCTGCGGGCGGGCGTCGACATCTGCCACGTGAGCGCGAGCTGGAGCTACACCTCCTTCGTGACCCGTGAGCGCCCCCACCCCATCCCAATTCCAGTCCTGCCCCCGGGTACGCCTCCTTCCACCATGCTGGCTACCCCAGTGTAGCTCTCCCATTCCGGCCCTTACCTAGAACACCCCTCATCCTCCATTCTGGCCACTTTGCCCCTGTCTAGACACCCCCTCCTCCATTCCAGTCCTCGGTACGTGTCCCATCCCCTCCCCGCCCGTTCTGTCTGCCCCGGCAGATGGAGGCCGCGTAGAGCTGTCCGGCTCCGCGAGCGGTGCGGCGGGCGGCTGCAGGGACGCGTGGGCCTCGGAGGGGCTCCTCGTGGTGCTGAGCGCCCAGCCGGGCCCCGGGCAGGGGTCCGGGGCGTTACTCCAGGCCTGGGCGCCCGACTCGGCGATGCGTGGGGAGCCCCTCTGGGCCAAGAATGTGTTGATGCAGCCCGCGAGTGAAGACGAACCGGGCGGTGAGGCCCTGGCTGGGACGCTGCCGCTGCTGCCCTGCGCCCACGCCTACGTGGGCCCGCGGCCGCCTTTCTACCGGCCTCTGGCCCCCGAGCTGCGGGCGCGCCGGCTGGAGCTGGGCGCTGAGCACGCGTTGCTGCTGGGGGCAGAGGGCCAGGTGTTCTCCTGGGGCGGAGGCAGGTGAGTGGGGGGCGTGGCCAGGTGGGCCAGCTGAGTATGATTAGGGGAAGCAAACGGAGGGAGACCCCTTAATGTGACTGTAGCTAAGGTCTCTCTTTCTTAGGCATGGACAGTTGGGCCACGGGACTCTGGTGTCAGAACGGGAGCCAAGGCTGTTAGAGGCATTGCAGGGCCTACCCATGGCTGAGGTGGCCGCAGGTGGCTGGCACTCTGTGTGTGTGAGTGGTGAGTGACCTAGTGCTTATCCAAACAGGCTCATGATCTTCCTCTTCCTCTTCCAGTTTTGGTAGGTGGCCTAGCCAGGCCTACTTCCAAAATCATCCCACATCAATCAGCTCAGTCACTTTTGACTCCTAATTGCTTCTCAGATTTAGCCCCCTCTGCCTCCACCATCACTCACTCACACCTGAGCTGTTGAAGTTGTTTCCTATCTTCTCTCTGTTACTGGTCTCACTAGCCTTCCCATCCATCTGCCACTGCCTGGGCTGTCTTTCTAAAATAGTCGCAAGAAAGCATGAAGAAGTGAGGGGGCAGCCCAACCAAGGAGAATGGAGAAGTAAGGCTGCAGTTGCCTAGGTGGCCATGATATATGGCACAGAGTGGACGCAGGATGATGGTGGAGTGTGACCCTGTGGTGGTGCCAAAGCTGGAGACCTAGGGGTATTGAGGAGTTTCACTTTGGATATGTGAGTCCAGCACCCTGGCAGGTGGTCCAGGTGCAGCTATATATCCTAGGCTGTTAGGGTGGGGCTAGGGACAGGTGGTCCTTGTCTGTGTCTAGGATTCTCAGTCTGGCTTTGACAACTAGCAATGCCTTCACTGTTCCCCATATTCTCATGTAATGGGCCTGGGTTGGCAACCAGGCTTAAGAACCTGTGGGCTGCAGGGAAGAGTACAGAGGGCTGGAAACAGACCAATGGGAAGTCTCACACTTAAGGGCCAGAAGGAATGTGAGACCTTAAGTTTGTTGGAGAGGTTGAAGCATGGATGCATCAAACCAGACTTCCTAGTTTCACATCACTCTGTCCCTGAGACCTTGGGCCTGCTACTTAACTTCTCTGTGCCTCAGTTTCTTATGAATAAGATGGGGATATTGTCATATAACTCCCTGTAGGGCTGTTGTGAAAATTAAATAATTATATTTGAAAGCTCATAAAATACCAGCACAGATTGAATACTTTCTAAAATTAGTTACTATTGTTTTTTTTTGTTTTGTTTTTTTTAAAGATGACCGGTAAGGGGATCTCAACCCTTGGCTTGGTGTTGTCAGCACCACGCTCAGCCAGTGAGCGAACCGGACATCCCTATATGGGATCCGAACCCGTGGCCTTGGTGTTATCAGCACCGCACTCTACTGAGTGAGCCACGGGCCGGCCTTAGTTACTATTGTTAATGAATTTTTTGCATTAAGGCTGTCGTTCCAACCAAAAAACCATAAGGTTGTGGGCAGCAAGGAAAGTGAAAGCTTCCAGAACTGAAAATCTTCAACAGGACCAATGCCAGGTGGAGTTGAAAAAGGGGCATAGGCCGGCTCAGTGGAGTTCCATGGATACTGGGGGTGGTGGTGGTGGAGGGGGCAGGTGGAAGGACAAAACAACTTAGCAACATAAAGAATGAAAATGGAAGGGCCAGCCCGTGGCTCACTTGGGAGAGTATGGTGCTGATAACACCAAGGCCATGGGTTCGGATCCCTATATAGGGATGGCCGGTTAGCTCACTGGGAGCTCTCTCTTGCTGACACAAGTCAAGGGTTAAGATTCCCTTACTGGTCATCTTTAAAAAAAAAAAAAAAGAATGAAAATGGAGAGGAAGGTCCAGCAAGGTATTTAGTTTAAAGAAAGAGTGACCTGAAAACAATGACGCAGGGAACCTAAAACAAGGAAGCTGTGGGGGCCTTAGGGAGGCACCTTTGCCTGGAATGCTACTTGGGCAGGGCAGGCTCTAGTTGTCCCCAGGAGACGGTAGGAGGGGCAGGGGAGTTTAGATGGATAAGGGGAATTCACAGTGTTTAATGGGTCCCTTTTTCTCTTTCAGAGACTGGGGATATTTATATCTGGGGCTGGAATGAATCAGGGCAGCTGGCCCTGCCCACCAGGAGCCTGGCGGAGGATGGGAAGATAGTCACAGGGGAAGGTGAGGGTCAATGCGATTTCCACAGCCTTCTCCCCACAGGATATTGTCGTCATTCCTGACTCCTGACTGTATGCTGGCCTGAGAGCTGAAGTGCTCAGAAGGAGCACATGACATCCTTGTCACCCCAGGACATTCCACAGGATTCTGACCCCATTATGGGAGGGAACATTGGCAAGGCTGATGCCAGTCTTGGGACTATACACCCCACAAGCCTATCAACTCCAGCACTTCTGGTAGAATGAAGGGGTTGGGAGCACCAGCTTTGGAGCTAGAGAATAATGAATGTGTTTCATGGAGCTGTTGTAGTAATAAGTTAATGTATGAATAAGGTTTAGCTCGATGCTCAGTGTTAACCATCATTATAATCATTCTAACTTTTTTTCTTTTTTTCTTTTCATCATTATAATCATTCTAAAGCCACAGGACTGAATGAACGTGGTTCTGAAGTGAAGAGAACAGTCGGGAGTGAGGATGGAGCCCCTGCCCCTTTCATAGCTGTCCAGCCCTTCCCAGCTTTACTGGATCTCCCCCTGGGCTCAGATGCTGTCAAGGCCAGTTGTGGATCCCGGCACACAGCTGTGGTAACACGTGAGTGGGGCTGGGTGGGCTGGTGCAGGATGGAGCAAGAAGGCGCTCCACCTTGCTCTGTAGCTGGTGGCTGCAGAAAGGGTGGGGACAACTTAACACTATTTTAAGGACCATTGATGTACATTGAATACCTTCCTCACTCCACGAATAGAGCCCCAACCCCCACGTGGCTTTATCAGTAGCTCCCCAGCCTGGTTTTTCCCTCTGAAGGGAGGCTAATGTTCCCCATTCTCTATGCATGGGTGCAGACACATTCCTCACCAGCCTCTTCTGAAAGCAGGGCCTATCCAGGCCAACGTCTAAGACTTCTGGACTTGGTAGCTTTGAGACATAGGCCAGTCAGTTGACATACAGGAAGGTAAACTTCTCAGTCTGGATCCTTTACCACACCAGATGTAATTAGACAGTTGTTAGAGGGAGAATATGTTGTCCTATGCCAAGCAGATCTCATGAGGATTGTAATGTGCTAGCTATGGTTGTGTCAGGCCAGGCTAGGCAAATGCCTTGCCAAAGAGCAGGAGTGACAGCTATTTACTGTCCTTTTGGTTGCAGGAACAGGGGAGCTCTATACCTGGGGCTGGGGTAAGTAAAAGGATTGTGTTTTTTTTTTTTTTTAAAGATAAACGGTAAGGGGATCTTAACCCTTGACTTGATGTTGTCAGCACCATGCTCAGCCAGTGAGCGAACTGGCCATGTCTAAAAAGGGATCCGAACCCATGGCCTTGGTTTTATCAGCACCACACTCTCCCAAGTGAGCCACGGGCCGGCCCAAAAGGATTGTTTTTGTCACTCTTAAACCAAGGGGAGGAAAGATCTGGAAGTACAGGGCAGGTAACAAAGCCATAAAGACTTGTGGAAGCAGGGGCCTTGGCTGGATCACTGGGAGGACTGGAACTGAAAAGCTGTGGGCTCCCACCTGGGGTCAGAATAGATCTAGGCACACTCAGAAGAGGGTTTGAGACCAGACAGGAGAGAAATAAGGAGTGATATCAGTACTACCCATCTACCTTTCTGAATGACTGTCTGTCTTAGGGGAGTATTTAGCCAACATTTCCAAAGCATCTTTTTTTGTTATTATTCTGGCTCTGGGTAGGAAAAAATAAATAAATGGAAATCTCTGCCCTGAGCTCCTTGGCTATTGTAGGAGGGAAGCCTAGGAGAGCATCTTGCCTGGAGTGGCTGGTTGCTGCTGGCCTCCTGGGCAGCTGCCCCCCACCACCCCAGGTTTGCCTGGTCCTGGAGGCTTCATGGCTGTGGGTCTCCTGGAGTCACAGAGCAGACCCCGGCAGGGTGGTGGGCATAATCCCAGCACTGTAGTCAGTGGGCTGTGTTCCTTCCTGGAGGGACGAGGCAGCAAGGCACAGTTGGAGAGGATGGCAAAGGCTAAATATTCCCCATAGGTAAATATGGACAGCTTGGACACAAGGACACCACCAGCTTGGATCAGCCCTGCCGTGTGGAATACTTTGTAGATAAACAACTCCATGTAAAGGCTGTCACCTGTGGGCCCTGGAACACCTATGTGTATGCTGTGGAAAAAGGGAACAGCTGATGTGTTATGTTTCTCTCTATTTTTTTACATTATGAAATATATAGAAAAGTACATAAAACAAATGTGCACTATATGAAAATTTATAAAGCTAACACTTGTGAAATTCCCATTCAGGTCAAGGAAAACCACTGTCAGCACCCCAAAGTTGCTCCCCATCAGTCCTGTCCCTTCACCGTGGAACAGGGTCCTTAACTTGTCTGCACTTTAGAAACACCTGGATAGCATTGAAAACTGTAGAGGATTCATAAAGCAAATGTACTTCACAGGGCCTGGTTTTCCAAGGCCTTGCAGTTTCAAATACTGACCTTGCAAAGGACAGGAAATTTTCCTCAGGTTATAAAGTCTCTGGTGTAAGATAAAGAATTCTGACACAGCAAGGTTGCTGGCTCAAAGACCAGACTGGTTACTGATTGATATGTAAAGTTACTGGGAAGCTGCTGGCTGGAGGGAGAAGGAATGTTTGCTAAGATCAAGCTTTTGTTAATGGATCATTTATTGCCTTACTGGAATGTCATGTGACTTGTTTCACTGAAAGTTACCAGCCTATATTGTTAAACTGTAACCCCACCTGTGTCTCTTCCTGTAACTTCTGGGCTGGAGAATAAATGCAGGAAGAGAACCCCAATTCGGGGTTAATTTCCCAAGGAAGGAATGCCTCTAGCTTGAGGATTCCGGGGAAGTTAACCACTTTGGGGCTTCTCACCGCTCAGAAGAGATGGGCTTTGAGTAATCCTTTGCGGCTCCATCACCCAGGGGAAGTGGGGTGACAAATCCGTGGGAGGCAAAGCAACAGAAAACTCTGCCCAAGGCCAGTATTTCAGACCTCTGAATGTGGTGCCTAGACAATTGGTAGATTTTAAAGCTCCTCCCACACCCCCTAGGTGATTCTGATGTACAGCCAAGATCGGGAACCACTAGTGTGAAAGAAAGTGAATTCATCATTCACTTTGTTTTCATTTAGAACTTGACAACCTGTGTATGCATCCGTATTCGATAGTTTAGTTTGTCTGCTTTTGAACACTAGGTATATAGAATCGTTCTGTGTTTATTCTTTTTTGTGTCTTGTTTTTTCCTTTAGCATTGTACGATCCATCCATATTGTGTCCTGGAGTTCATTCATTTTTATGTTTTATGGTATTCCATTGTGTGAATATACTTTGTTATATATTCTTTTGTTTATGGTCATTTTTACTGTTTCTAATTTTTGGTCATTACACACAATACTCAGTGATCATCCTGTGCACATGTGCACAGGTTCTTCCATAGGACATTCAGAGTAGAACTGGTAGCTCAAGTGATGCTTTTAACTTTGCTATATGACTATATAGTCCTACCAGCAGTGTTGGGTTTACTGTGGCTCAAACAAAGGTAGAGGCATGCTGGTTTTAATTAGCATTTCCCTAAATACTAATGAGGTTGAGTAGCTTTTGTTTACTGGTCATTTGGAGTTTTTTGGTTGTGAAGTACTTATTCAAGTTTTCTGTATGTTTTAGTGATTTGTCTCCTTTATATATTTTAGATACAAGTCCTTTGATAGTTATGTGTTCACAATATCCTCTGCTATGCTGTAGATTTTTTTTCAGTCTCTTTTGGTATTATCAGTTTTTAAGTTATGCAGTGCTTACTGTGTCAGGTAATGCTCAAGGTACTTTATAAATATCAACTTATTTTGATGAACATAAGTTCTTAATGTAGTCAAGTTTATCAGAACTTTCCTTTGAGATGAGTTTATATGTGTGTCTGATTTAAGAAATTTTTCCTGACCATGGGGTACTTAAGATAACTTTTTCTTTTTTGTTGTGATAAAAAATACTGAACATGAAATTTACCATTTTAAACATTTTTAAGTATATAGGTTAGTGACATTATATACACTCACATTGTTGTGTAACTATCACAACTATCCATATCCAGAACTTTTTCATCATTCCATACTAAAACTTTGTACCTGTTAAACACTTAACTCCCCATAACCCCTTATTCCCCAGCCATTGGCAATCACCATTTTATCTTCTGTCTCTGAATTTGACTACACTAGTTACCTCATATATGTGGAATCATACAGTATTTGTCTGTTTGTGACTGGCTTATTTCCTTAGCATAGTGTCCTCAAGGTTCATCCATGTTGTAGCATGTATCAGAATTTCCTTCCTTTTAAAGGCTGAATAATATTCCATTGTATGTGTATACCACATTTTGTTTAGCCATATCCACTGATGGATGCTGAGGTGTTTCCACCTTTTGGCTATTGTAAATAATGCTGTTATGATGGGTGTACAAATATCTCGTTGAGTCCCTGCTTTCAGTTCTTTTGGGTATGTAACCAAAAGTGGAATTGCTGGATCATATGGTAATTCTTTTTATTTTTGAGGAGCCCCCACACTGTTTTCAGAAGAGGCTGCATCATTTTACATTCCCACAGTAGTGCACAAGGGTTTCAGTTTCTCCACATCCACTCAACATTTGTTTTCTGCTTTTTTTTTTTAATACTATCTGTACTAGTCCATTTCTGTTGCTTATAACAGAATACCTGAAACTGGGTAATTTATAAGACATGAAATTTATTTCTTACACTTTTGGAGACTGGGAAGTCCAAAGTCCAGGGAACACATCTGGAGAGGGCCTTTTTCAGTGGGTGATAACTCTGTAGTGATGCAGGGTATCACATTGTAAGGATGGGCTGAGCAAGAGTGAGGCAAGATTCTCACTAGCTCTCCTTATAAAACCGTCATATCCACACCCCCACCCATTCAACCATCAGTGGTTAATCCATTCACAAGAGTACAGTCCTCACAATCACCTTTAAAGACGCCACCTTTAATTAGCATGATAAGATTCCCACCCTCTTAACACTGTTACAATGGAGATTAAGTTTCCAATCCATGAACTTTTGGGGGACACATTAAATCCATAGCACTGTCCTGACGGACATGAAGTGGTATATCATTGTGGTTTTGATTTGCATTTCTCTAACGATTAGTGATGTTGAGCATCTTTTCATGTGCTTTTTGGCCATTTGTATATCATCTTTGCAGAAATGTCTATTCAAGTCCTTTGCCCATTTTTGAATCGTTTGTTTTGTTCTTGAATTCTAGGAATTCCCTGAATATTCTAGTTTTTAATCCTTTATTAGATATGATTTGCAAATGTTTTCTCCCATTCTGTGGGTTGTCTACTCTGTTAATAGTTTTTTTCTTGTCTTTTTCTTCTAATAGCTTTTTAATACATAAAGCATTTTTTGTTTTAATGAAGTTCTATTTGTCTATTTTTTCATTTGTTTCTTCCTATGCTTTTGTTGTCATATACAAAAAATCATTGCCAAATCCAGTGTCATGAAGCTTTTGCCATTTTCTTCTAAGAGTTTTATAGTTTTAGCTCTTACATTTAGGTCTTTGATCCATTTTGAGTTAATTTTTGTATATGGTGTTAAGTGTCCAACTTCATTCTTTTGCATGTGGTTATCTAGTTTTCCCAGCAGCATTTGTTAAAAGGACAGTTCTGGGCTGGCCAGTTAGCTCAGTTGGTTAGAGCACAGCCTTGTAACACCAAAGTCATGTGTTCAGATCCCAGTACCAGCCAACTGCAAAAACAAACAAACAAATAAAAAACAGTTCTTTCCCCACTGAATGGTCTTGGCACCCTTGTCTTCAAAAATCATTTGATCATACATGTGAGTGTTTAATCTCTGGGCTCTCTAGTCTATTCCATTGGTCTGTATGTCTATATGCCAGTACCACACTGTTTTGATTACTGTAGCTTTGTACTGAATTTTGAAACAAGTTAGTATGAGTCTTCCAACATTGTTTTTTCAAGATTGTTTTTGTTATTTGGGGTCCTTTGAGATTCCATATGAATTTTAGGATGGACTTTTTTGTATTTCTAAAAAAACATCTTTAGGATTTTGGTAGGGATTACATTGAATCTGTAGATCACTTTGGGTAGTACTGACATCTTAACAATATTGTCCTCCAATCCATGAACATAGGATGTTGCCATGGCTTGAATGTTTGTGTCCTCCAAAGCTCATGTTGAAATTCAGTCCCCAAATTGGCAATACTGAGAGGTGGAGCCTTTAGGTGATTGGATCATAAGAACCTGCCCTCATGAAAATGAATAAATGGGTTAATGAGTTATCAGGGAGTAGATTGGAAGATTTATAAGAGGAGGAAGAAACAATGTGAACACACGCTTGTTCCCTCTCCATGTAATGCTCTGCATCACCTCAGGACTCTGCAGAGTCCCCACCAAGAAGGTGGTTCTCACCAGATGTACCCCTTTAACCTTGGACTTCTCAGTCTCCAAAACTGTAAGAAATAGATTTCTTTATAAATTACTCAGTTTCAGGTATTTTATTATAGGCAACAGAAAACTAAGACAGATATCTTCCATTCATTTGTTGTCTTTAATTTCTTTCACCACTGGAAAAGTTTTCAGTGTACAAGAGTTGCACATCCTTGGTTAATTCCTAAGTATTTTATTCCTGTGGATGCTATTATAAGTGGAATTATGTTTCTTTTGTATTTTTGGTTTTTGGTTTTGGTGGCTTGGCAGTATGGGGATCTGAACCCTTGACCTTGGTGTTATCAGTACCACACTCTCCAAGTGAGCTGACCAGCCAGTCCTGGAATTTTGTTTCTAATTTCCTTTTCAGGTTGCTTATTATTTTTGTATAGAAAGTTATTTCTGGGCCGGCCTGTGGCTCACTCGGGAGAGTGTGGTGCTGATAACACCAAGGCCCCGGGTTCGGATCCCATATAGGAATGGCCGGTTCGCTCACTGGCTGAGCGTGGTGCTGACAACACCAAGTCAAGGGTTAACATCCCCTTACTGGTCATCTTTTTTTTTTTTTTTTCCCCTTTTTGTCTTTTTTACTGACCGGTAACAGGATCGCAACCCTCGGTGTCGCGCCCGTACCGGGGACCGGCAACAGGATCGCAACCCTCGGTGTCGCGCCCGCACCGCGCTCAGCCAGTGAGCGGGAACTGGTCTCCACATGGGATCCGAACCCTCGGCGGGAGTGCCTCCGCGCTCCCAAGCGGTGCACTCTCCAGTGCGCCACTGGGCCGGCTCTACCGGTCATCTTTAAAAAAAGAAAAAGATATCTCTGTTGATTTTTGGATCCTGCTAACTTTGCTGGATTCAATTATTCTAACAGTTTAGAGGTTTTTTTGGTGGAACCTTAGGGGTTTTTACATATGAAAAAATCTTGTCATGTTCAAGCAGAGATTTTAGTTCTGTCCAATTTAAATGCTGTTTATTTCATTTTCTTGCTTAGTTGCTTTGGCTAGAACGTCAAATACTATGGTGAATGAATAGCAGTGCTGAAAGCAGGCATCTCTGACTTCTTGATCTGAGGAAAAACTCCGTCTTTTGAGTTTGCTGTGGACTTCTACTATATGGATTTTATTGTGTTGGGTTTCCTTTTATTCCTAGCTTGTTGATTGTTTTTTTCATGAAAGAGTGTCGAATTCTGTCATGCTTTTTATTCATCATTTGAGATAATCATATGGTTCATTTCCTTCATTGTTAATGTGGTGTATTACACTGATTGATTTTTGTATGCTGAATTGTTCTTGCATTCCAGCAATATTTCCCACTTGGTTATGGAATATATAATCTCTTTTAATATTCTGACAAGTTTGGTTTGCTAGTATTTTGTTGAGGAGTTTGGATCAATGTTTATAAGTGACACTGGTCCATAGTATTCTTTCTTGTATTCTTTGACTTTGGGTTTTTTTGGGGGGGTCGGGGGGGGAGTTGACTGGTTTGGGGATCTGAACCCTTGACCTTGGTGTTATGACACCGTGCTCTTAATTAATTGAGCTAACTGGCCAGCCCCTGTCTGACTTTGTTATTAGGATAATGCTGGCTTCACAGAATGACTTAGCAAGGTTGCAGTATACAAGGTCAATATACAGGCTGGACAAATGGATTATCTGTATGCAAAAAGAATGAACTTTAAGTCATACTTTGTGCCATACAGATATGGATACATATATACAGAGCTAAGATGGATCATAGACCTAAATGTAAGATGTAAAACTTCAAACTTTTAGGAGAAAACCTTTACGATCTTGGGTTAGGCAAAGATTTCGTAGCTAGAACAACAAAAACTCAATCTAAAGAACAACAAATGAATTTCATAAAATTCAAACTTCTTTACAAAAGACACTTAAAAGAACAAAAGACACAGAATGGGAGAAAATCTTTGCAAAGCATATTTGTCTTAGTCCATTTGTGCTGCTATAACAGAATACCAGACTGGGTAATTTATAAGGAACAGAAATTTATTTTCTCACAGTTCTAGAGGATGGAAAGTCCAAGATAATGGCACCAGCAGCTTCATTTGTCTGGTGACGGCTGCTCTCTGCTTCAAAGATGGTGCCTTGATGCTGCATCCTCTGGAGAGGAGGAATACTACGTTCTCATGTGGTAGAAGGTGAAAGGACAAAAAAAGGAGAAATGCTGTGCAAAGCCTCTTTTATAAGGACCTTAGTCCCATCCATGAGGGAAGAGCCCTCCTGGCCTAACTAACTCTTAAAGACCACATCTCTTAATGCTATCATACTAGAAACACATAAATTTTAGAGGGGACACATTCAAACCATAGCACATTTGTATCTAGGCTATACAGAGAATTCTCAAAACTCAACAGTAAGAACACAACCCAATTTTTTAAATGGGCAAAAATGGTGAATAGGCATGTCACCAAAGGTAGAAGGATGGCAAGGAAGAATATGAAAAGGTGATCAATGTCAGTCATTAGGGAAGTGCAAATTAAAACCACAATGAGATACTACTTCATACCCAATGGAATGGTTAGAATTATAAAGACTGACCATACCAAATGTTGCAAAAGATGTGGAGAAACTGGAACCTTCATACGTTACTGGTGAGAATAAAATGGAACGACCATTTTGGAAAACAATTTGTCAGTTTTTAAAAAGTTATACGTCTACCATAGATATAATTCAGCTGTTCCACTCCTAGGTATTTACCCAAAAGAAAAAGGAAATATATATCCATACAGACTTGTATATGAATGTTTACAGCAGCTTTATTTTTAATAGCCAAAAACTAGAAAAAACCCTAATGTGAATAAACATACCTTGGAATACTATTCATCAATAAAAGGGAATGAACTGTGGATACAGCAACAATATGGATGAATCTCGAAACAGTGAAAGAGCCAGACCAAACAAATATATATGGTATAATTCTACCTATAAAAAACTACAGAAAATGCAAATGAATCTATAGTGATAGAAAGTGGATCAGTGGTTGCTCGTGGGGGTGAGGATGGGACCGGGAATTAGAAAGTGGCAGGAGGAAACTTGGGGGTGATGGATATGTTCAGTAACTTGATTGTGCTCATGGTTTCACAAGTGTACAATATGCAGAATTTATCAAAGTGAGCATTTAAAATAAGTGCAGTTTATTTTATATCAATTATACCTCAATAAAGTTGTTAAAAAGTTAGGCATCCTCACCCTATGAAAGCTATTCCTATTCATGTTACAAATGACAACAAAACACAAAGTTTCCCAATGTTACCTCAGCTTCTCTCTACATCAGGAGGTAGACTTTTTATTTCTCTCAGAACACTTTTTTTTTTTGGCGGCTAGCCAGTAAGGGGATCCGAACCCTTGACCCTGGCATTATCAGCACCACGCTCTAATCAAATGATACTTTTTTCTGAGAATAAGAGGCATTAACTTAGAAATGCACAAAAGATTATAAAAATCACACTCCTGATCGAAAATTTATTTTGGCGGCTGGCCTGTACTGGGATCCAAACCCTTGGTCAATTAAAAATTTTTTGCATGTCCTTTTAGTCTTTTCTGTTTTCTACAGACCAAATCAACCAAAAAATTGATTAGAGAAAAAATGAAAACAGACACAACAATATACCTTTTTAAAATGTAAATATACACATTTTAATTTATTTTTAAGGATATATTTATATTTTAAAAACAGGACATGCATATGCAGGACTAAACAGCATGGCTGACACTTACAGACCAAGCCTGCACTGGTAAGCTTTTGAGAACCATTTAATGTGTTGACAGGAGGACTGGTGCAGGCAAACAGAGTAAGAATAAATAGTAGTGCTTCGGGAAGAGCAGTAGTGATCGATAGGCTAGGTAAAGAAGGACCCTCATCGTGGATGTTATAGCAGGAACAACTTCCCAGTAGTGACGTGCAAAGTTCCAGATCTCCACGACAGAGATGGCCCAACCCATCCAACAGTCTTTCAACTTGGCTGGCAATTGCAGGGGGTAGAAGAACTCAGGCATAGTGGGCATTGGGGGGCTGGACCCAGGGAAAAACTGAAGAAATAGACTTCAGACAAGCATATGTGTTTATACACACACATTCCCACAAAGAGCATTGCACTATATAACAACTGTACACAACTTAACAAAGGAGCTCCCAGCCTTCCTGTCACCACTTTGGCAATAGATCAGGCCATCTCAACTTCTAACCCACAAAGACATCCTCATTAGGAGGGCTGTCCTGTGTGGTAGGGACAGGTCTTTAGTTGAGAGCAAATCTATCATAGCTACAGCATTAATTGAACATCCCTAAACAAAAATGATGTTAATTGCTAATTACACATATACAAGCCAAAATTACTTCACGTCCCATACCCTAAGGATGGGCATGGTCAATTGTTTTCCCACACCATGGTGAAATAAAACAAACCCTTGATCATGCTTCAACAAGCTGGATTAAGGGGTAGAGAAAGAAATTACGCCCCATATGCTAAAATTTGCACTTACTACTATAAGTTTTAATGTATTTCTTGAGTCAAAATAAAACCCAGTCTGCAAGGACCCACTAAACCTGTGATGGACTTTGATCTGTCACACTCATTCTTGTCTTTAAGTTAGGCCCTTGGTAGCAGAACCTGTCCAGGGTTTCAAGCACACCTAAACTGAAGAAAAACTAAAGCCACCCCATATAATTAGGTTCCAGTCTAGGCATGGGAAGCCACAGCTGGTTGACTGATCAGAGTTTCTCAGGACTGGATGTTGGTTGAATTGAGGATTCGGGAAGTAGCATCAGATTTGGAAGCCTTTGAAAGTTCTTGCTGTTGAAAAATAAATAACATCAGTGGCAGTACTGCCCCTATCATGCATGCCCTCCCTTCTCAGCATAGTTAAGTGTCAGCAGAAGGCCCTCTGAGGGCAGTTTATCTGCGACAGAGGTCCCTAGCCCAGCTCGGCTGTGTTAGGAACAAAAGGTGAGGAACTCAGCACCATTCTGTTAGTCACAGACCACATGCATGTACACACATGCATGTAAAACCTCGCAGAAGAGAAATTCCTTCTGTTTCACAAAGCTACTCTCAGAGATGTCAAGCAAGTAGGCAACGAGCTTTAGACTTGAGCCCTTTATAAAACAAAGGGCCAGACCATATATCTACCAATCCCTGGGGCAGAGGGCCTTGTAACCTGCTGGTGATTTGATCTCATGCTGGAGCCATGGTATAGAATCAGAAGAAAAAGCATGAATGACCATTGAGAAAGATATTAGAAGAGGTTAGTTTATAGGATTTGGTGCTGCCAGGTGGAGTCTATCAGCCATAGCAACCAAAACCAGATGATCCTCCTCAGGACTAGCCAGAGATAAGCAAGTACATTTAATCCCCAAATGGATGAAATGTGCCATGGCTGAGCAAGCAAAAAAAGGGAAAGCTGGACCCTCTGTCTAGCAATCAGCTAGCCAGAGAGACACACACCCACTTCTACAGGTAGAACCACCACCAGTCATGTAATTTGGATAAAGTGCCAGAATATGTAGTGTCAATGCTTAAAACTAGCTACAGCCTTAGGCAACTGTCCCATTCTCCATCCCTGCAGAAACAAGAGAGGAGGCAGGCTAGGCTTTAACTCAATATCCTCCCAGGGGTGAGGGACAGCCTCACATCTTACTAGTAAGATATTGAGGAAAGAGAAAACACACATTGTTAGGCATTGCAGTTAAGTGTTAGCAAACACAGAGTAGGATACTAGAAGGTGAAGAGCATTCTGGAAAAATTACTTTCTTCCAGTGCTTCATACATGCTTTAGCAGGTCAATATGGTAGAAATATGCAAAGGTGAGGACAGAAAGTTGGAGATTCAGCCCTGAGGAGTTAGTAAGGCATATACTCCAGGAAATAATCAGCACACAGGCCAAGAACCTCACTATAGGCAGCACACAGCTGGGGCTCCCCTCCCAACGTGATGGGGCCTCTGTTCTTTCCAGCACATTGCAGGCCTTTGATGTTATAATTGCGGAGGGTCAAAGTTTTCTGTTGTGAAAAACATAACTTAAAAAACTGCCTGACTTTAGGCAGGGCTGAGAATCCAATTCAAGTCTGAACAAGTTTTCTTATTAATCAGCAGGTTAGTCAATCTGTTGGGAATGTAAACCAGATATTTATTTGTGAAGTTCATGATAGGAATTCCTGCTTCCTTTGTAAAAAGGTTCTTTAATATAGCTGAGATTATTGGTTAGTGTAGCCCTGTGCCCAGATGGGAACGAAGCCAGTAGATGACAGATCAGTTTGGGAAAGGGACATGGGACATGCAGGGGTTGCCATACAGACCTGAAGCCCAATAGTGGAGCTGTCAGAGAGGGATGGATCCTTCTAAGAACAAAGAATTAAGACAATTACCAAGAACTCCACCAAGAGAGCACCAAGGCAGTGATTAAAGGGGTCACCTCCTGCAGCCAGGGAATGGTCAGTCTTAATCAGAAGGATCCAGGTTAAATGTCTAGTTGCTGCTGCCAACTTCCTTCTCATATATCCCCCTTAAACTGCTCCCACCCCCACCATGGTCAAGGCAGGAAAGGGATTCTCAGCCTGTAAGGAAACTGCCCTACCTACTATCCTGGGTACCCTTGGGAAGATACCCACTCTGCCCCAACTGTGTGCTCCCCAGAGACTGGTAGATATTAGAAAAGGTGAATTACCGCAAACTCAGAATAGGTGCTGGCAACAGAATTAATGCTGAAGTTGCGCTGGAGGGGGGCCAAGTCGGGGTACCCACCACTCAGGAAGCTGCCATTGAGCTCCAGGTTCTCCTTGTTGGCTCCATGCCTACCAGCACGGGGCGTTTTTTTCCCTGAACAAGTGGAAGTAATAACTGGCTGCAGAAAAAGAAAAGATAGATCCATTTATCATCCTTATAACTACACACACACAAAAAAACCCAATGGTCAAGGGATGATACCACCTTTATATTATTCGTATGTTTATAATCCTATACTTATGGTTTAAAAAATATATGAATTTTTAATGACTTACAGAATACCTGTGTTGAACACAGCTGTAAAGTATTTGAAAGACTGAACATATTTTAGCACACACTTCTCACCTCCCTTCTTCTGAGCACCTGACTCTCTAGTGAGCTCCAGTCACTGGGTTGGAACCCATGTGCAGGGTGACCAGCTGAAAACTGGGCTTGTAACTGAGCCTCTAGAAACTGCCACTTGACCTTCAGTTTGCCAGGCACATCCCAGTGCTTCCTATGGCACCAGTGGGGCTCAGAGTGGCTATTCTCATTTTTCTCTCATTAGTTTTTGACATTTATTTATTTATTGGCAGTTGGCCAGTATGGGGTCCGAATCCATGACCTTGGTGTTATAAGGCTGTGCTCTAACCAACTGCATGCTAACCAGCTGAGCTACATGGCCAGCCCCTTGACCATTATTAATGATTATGCTAGCTTATGTCTGTTAACTCTCAGCATCTCGATGACAACTGAATCCGGGGATCTTAGAAACTAGAACAAGTAGATGGGGCCTCTAGGTAAACAGGCTAGGGCAGTGTGTGGGGATGTGCTTGTACACATAACATACTAACCTTGCTGCCAGAAGGAGGAAGTCGAGACACAGGGGAGCGGTAGATTGTCCCACCGAAGACAGGCCGAATGCTGCTGTTGGCTGTAGCATTGGAGATGGTGGTAGTGTTCAGCTAAGGAGGAGAACAGATAGATTACTGCTGTGAGATAACATCCTTGGTGCTTCTAGCCTATTTCTGCCCTACAGAGAAAGGAGTATGGGAAGTAATCCAGGAAAGATGGGTTTACCTGGTAAAGAACCTGCTGTGTCCAATATTGCATAACTTTTTTTTTTTTTGACCGGTAAGGGGATCGCAACGCTCGGCACAGTGTGATCTGCACCAGACTCAGCCAGTGAGCACACCAGCCATCCCTATATAGGATCCGAACCTGCGGCCTTGGCGCTACCAGCGCCACACTCTCCTGAGTGAGCCACAGGGCCGGCCCAATATTGCATAACTTTTTTTTTTTTTGACCGGTAAGGGGATCGCAACGCTCGGCACAGTGTGATCTGCACCAGACTCAGCCAGTGAGCACACCAGCCATCCCTATATAGGATCCGAACCTGCGGCCTTGGCGCTACCAGCGCCACACTCTCCTGAGTGAGCCACAGGGCCGGCCCAATATTGCATAACTTTAAGACAATCCATGAAATGTTTTCAGAGCCAGAAGATGGAACTATAAAACGGTTCAGCCACTTGGGGCAGAAGACACCGGTCCTATGACCCAGCCATATGATACCACTCCTAGGTATCTACCAAAAAGATATGAAAGCATATATCCATACAAAGATTTATACATAAATGTTTCAAGCAGCTTTATATGTAATAGTCAAAAGCTAGAAACAACCAAAAATCCATCAATAGGTGAATGGACAAGCAAATTGTGGTATATTCATACGATGGAATACTGCTCAACAATAAAAAGGCTGTTGATACATGCAGCAACATGTGTGAATCTCAAAAAATTATGCTAAATGAAAGAGGCTACCAGACAAAAAAGAATATATACTGTATGATTCTATTTATATAAAGTGTTAGAATATGCAAACTAATCTATAGTGACAGAGTAAATCCCTGGCTGCCAGGGGCTAGGGGTTGAGGGAGAATGGGGCAGGAGAGGAGGAAGGTAATACAAAGCTGCACTAGGAAACTTTGGGAGCCATGGATATGTTCTTTATCTTGATCGTAGTGATGGTTTCATGGTTTATGTTAAAACTATCAAAGTATGCACTTTAAATATTATATGCTAAGATACTCAAGCTGTGGGGAAAAAAAAAAATTATATA